AAACTTTAAAATTTGAAAATTTATTTTATATTTAAGAGTTTTATAAAGAATTAAAATATTCAAAATCTACCCTGAATTTATCCAAATTATGAACAAGGATATTATTTATTTGTAATATCATGATTAAACATTTTTTTTATCTGGCAAAATTCGAAAATTGGTTTTTCTGTTTAGTTTAATTCATAAATAAAATCATTTAAATCTTGATAAATAAAAAAGGAAAGTTTAGTTTATTAAGAATTCATGTATAAATTAGTTAAACCATTATAATTTATAAACCTATTCTTAAATTATAATTTATTGCATGGACCTAATTAACTTATTAAATATTATGCCATAGGATATCCTAAAATATTAAATTAAAATTGTTTTGGAATATGATTTTACACAGTAGGTATTCTTGATTCTTAACTTAGACATAAACTTGGTTTTTAAATGTGCGAAACGATTTCATCTTCCATAAAACTTGTAGATTTATTATTATCTTTCTTATAACTTTCAAAAATTTGTGAATATACATGAGTTAATTAATTTATCATTCCAAAATAATTTTTTGAATTCCAATTTCTTTTTTTATTGTGAATTGGAGTTTCAATATTTTAAAACATATCTTTAATTGAAGCTTGGAGAAACAATTTAGGATGAAGTAATCCAATTTTTATACAATTAGGATAAACTTTTGAAAATTTCAAAGAGATCTATATTTACAAATCAAAAGGAGCACTTTAACTTAAGATTTTTTCATCTCCATATATTATTGACAATAATATTTTAATAAATTCAACTAAATTTATAATTATAGAAATTAATTTAGCCCTATCTGTTTTAATTACATCATTTATTGATATTTATTTCTTTTTAGAATTTATATAATTTTTACTCAGCAACAAGTCTTCACATAATTATTCAATAAGAAATAAAGGTTAAATTTCATTTGCTTCGAATTTAATTTATCTATGTGAAATTTTAAATTGATTTAAAATATCAAAGTTTAAATTGAATACATTATATCCTTTTTAAATCTAATTATTAATACAATTTAACAAATTAGTTGAGTATTACAGAGTCTTTTCTTTTCTTAAATACATTTTGATTAGCTTTAACAATTAAATTTACTGAGTTAGAATTTAAAGAGATATTCTTGCATAGGTAGATGAAGATTTATCTCTCTATTCTATCTATTAAATTAATGATTCATATTTATCTTCTTTTAATTCTTCAAAGAGTAAAATTATTGAAGGATCAAAACCTTTAAAATAAACTTGAGTTATCTTTAATTTTATTTATTTAGTCTTATTTTCATGTGTATTATCAAACTCAGCATAATATCTTTCAACTATATGCTCATCCTATTGTTATTTTAATAATCTTATTAGAGTATGTTCTAATTTGATAGATTGAAAACTTTATCTTTCTGTTTCAAATGGAAGTGCTTTAATTTTTCTTAAAAAATCTCTAAAGCTTTTATCATCTTCTATTTATAATTTTAATCTCATATTCTTATTGATTTTATCAAGACATAATTAACCTTAGTTTTTATCAAATTTTACAATCATAACCCAAGATGGAAGTAAATCTTAAATAATATTTTCATATTAATTTTATGATTAGTGAGTAATAAAATATTATCTGCTTCCTGATTCAATAGAATATCTAAAAGCAATCATAAGCACAGTTATCAAATTATGTGTTATCATATCATAAATTTGAATATTGCTAACTTAAATAAATGAGCAACATTAACAAAGGATCTGTAGACCAGTTTACATAATAAATTTATTACCTCGAACATAAATTACTAATTTGAAATTTAAAATTACATATTTTTATACATGCCAAACTATAGCCTATATACCATTGATTGGATTTATCTGCAAATAATCTGTAAAATTCACAAATTAAACACAATAATATTTAGTTGGAAGTTATAATAATTTCCACTCTTTCCTGGTATTTTCTTATGAAGAATAACAATGTTATTTCTAAACTTAGTATTATACATGAGATTATCAAAGGTATTAGAGCCTTTATGCTGTTAAATTAAGCAATCATCACTGACAAATAAACAATTATAAAACAGAGTAGTAGTTAGTATCTTTTCTAATTCTTTTTGAAACACCATTCCTTATATGCATCTTCCATTTCAAGAGAATTGAAAGTCAGACTTAGAGTTTTTATCATTTATTAATAATATATTATTTACTATGATAGTAATGTAATAATGTATGGCGTTTTTTGAAAGTATGAGTTTCTAAGCTTTAAGAATATTCCAGATTTTACTTAGAAAGAATCAACTCTCTTAATATTATATCAAATAAGTATTAAAAAATATTGTACTACTTTTAAATTAAATAAAATGTCTTAAAAATTACATTTTAATTTAATATTTCAATTTAGTTTCTATCTAAAATCCTTCTATAAGTATTATTTCAAAAAATACTATCATTAATTTATTTATTAATAATGAAAATTTATTTCAATAGAAATAAAAAATAATATANTGCTCATCCTATTGTTATTTTAATAATCTTATTAGAGTATGTTCTAATTTGATAGATTGAAAACTTTATCTTTCTGTTTCAAATGGAAGTGCTTTAATTTTTCTTAAAAAATCTCTAAAGCTTTTATCATCTTCTATTTATAATTTTAATCTCATATTCTTATTGATTTTATCAAGACATAATTAACCTTAGTTTTTATCAAATTTTACAATCATAACCCAAGATGGAAGTAAATCTTAAATAATATTTTCATATTAATTTTATGATTAGTGAGTAATAAAATATTATCTGCTTCCTGATTCAATAGAATATCTAAAAGCAATCATAAGCACAGTTATCAAATTATGTGTTATCATATCATAAATTTGAATATTGCTAACTTAAATAAATGAGCAACATTAACAAAGGATCTGTAGACCAGTTTACATAATAAATTTATTACCTCGAACATAAATTACTAATTTGAAATTTAAAATTACATATTTTTATACATGCCAAACTATAGCCTATATACCATTGATTGGATTTATCTGCAAATAATCTGTAAAATTCACAAATTAAACACAATAATATTTAGTTGGAAGTTATAATAATTTCCACTCTTTCCTGGTATTTTCTTATGAAGAATAACAATGTTATTTCTAAACTTAGTATTATACATGAGATTATCAAAGGTATTAGAGCCTTTATGCTGTTAAATTAAGCAATCATCACTGACAAATAAACAATTATAAAACAGAGTAGTAGTTAGTATCTTTTCTAATTCTTTTTGAAACACCATTCCTTATATGCATCTTCCATTTCAAGAGAATTGAAAGTCAGACTTAGAGTTTTTATCATTTATTAATAATATATTATTTACTATGATAGTAATGTAATAATGTATGGCGTTTTTTGAAAGTATGAGTTTCTAAGCTTTAAGAATATTCCAGATTTTACTTAGAAAGAATCAACTCTCTTAATATTATATCAAATAAGTATTAAAAAATATTGTACTACTTTTAAATTAAATAAAATGTCTTAAAAATTACATTTTAATTTAATATTTCAATTTAGTTTCTATCTAAAATCCTTCTATAAGTATTATTTCAAAAAATACTATCATTAATTTATTTATTAATAATGAAAATTTATTTCAATAGAAATAAAAAATAATATAGATGATTGAAATAATATAATTCTTAAAGAATTATTTCAAATCAGAATCAATAATTTTGGAGCTGTATATATTTGCTAAAAATTTAATCAATTTTACAAGAAATTAGATCATAATTAAATAAATATCACTCAATTTTCAATTTGAATTATTTTATATAAATTATAATTTAACTAATATTTAAGTAATTCATTCTTTTCAACTGCAATTTATTCTTTCAGTAATTACATTATTGATCATATTAAAAATTTAGTTTACATCTAATTAATCAGGATTCGTAAATAAAGATTCAAATCTATCTAAATCTTTATTATTTGATTTTTTCACAGTACTTACTGAAATATTTGGTTCTAAAAATTCATCAAGATCTTCAGGACCCAAATTTAGAATGTTCATAGACTCTGAAAATTTAGCTATATTTTTGGGTTTATTTTCACCCTTTATCTAAACCTTAGCTTAATTACCTTTATTTAATTCCATGTAATTCTCTCTATAAATACGTTTCAGTAGAAATATTAACATATTAACTTAATTTTCATACTTCTTGCTTCCAATTTTTCCCTATTCATTTTTTCTCATTTCCCTTTCTAAAAATAAAATTATTCTATACCTAATTCAGATACTGTCTATGCATATTTAGATGTATAATCTGTCTTATAAATTTCAAATTCATTAGACTTCTCTTCAAATTTTTACCTAAAGTGTTTTATTGCCTAATCTTTTCTATTTATTTCTTCTTTTAACTTCTTAACTTATTATATCAAATCTAATTTTTCAGAATCATTAGGTTTTTAAACTGAAAGTTAATCTATTTTATCTCTTAATTCTTTTATATTAGCATCTTTTCTAGTATTGTCCTATTTAAGTTGTTTGTTTTTTTCTTAGATACTCTTAATTTCCTCTTAAATTTATTTCTCTTATGCTTTCATTTAATCATATTTCTCTTTGAATTCTTTGAAATTCATATTTTATCTCTCATTATCTTTATTTACTCTTTTTAATTTTTCATTTTCTGTTGACAAATCTTCATTTTATTTTTTTAGCTTTTCCACAATTTATTTTTAATCTTCTCTATCTCCTCTAAATTAATCAGCAACATCTTTTTTCCTTTATAATTCATCTTTTAATTGATAAATAATTTAATCTTTTTAACTTATAACCTCATTTAAAGCCTAAACTTTATCTTCTGGTACAAATTTATTTTAAACTTAATTTAATTCATTAATTATTTTTTAATTTTCTTATTTATATTATTTTTATAGTTCTTAGATTGTTTAATCTCTGTTTTTAAGTAAATCTTATAGATGCTAATTTTATTAATTACTTTTTTTTAATTCTTATTCATAAATCATATTAGCTTATTTTAATTAATCAATCTTTTATTCTGCTAATTTTAATTAAATTTTATATTAATTTGATTTTACTTCTATTTCAGCCACTTTGCCTTATTATAATAATAAAGTAATAGGCACTTATTCTTCAGATTTCTATTTATCTAACTAAATTTATTTTGTTGTAGATGGTTTTTTGAGACTTGGAATTTTAGGTTTATGTTTTTCAAGTTATTTAGATATATTTTAATTTTCTGCTTAAAGAGTTGTTAATTTATCTGAAAATTCTTTGATTTATTATTTTTATTGATTTATTGTTTGTTATAACTATTTATTTTTATCATTATTTTATTTCTATTTTTATATGTTCTAAGCAAGTTAAACTACATTTTCATGATATGATTAAACCAATTCTTTAAACCATTATTATTCTTTAGTGTAATTTAAACTCTTTTTGTAAGCGTCATTCTAATTGAAATATTAATTTTATCTACATTATAATTCTTACATATCTTAATTAAACTTCTCACTAATCAATTCCATTGTATTATTTTATCGTTCAATAATTTCTTCATATATTTCTTTTTAATTTACAATTTCAGTATTAATCTTTTGAATAATTTCAGTATTATCTTCATTATCTTTTACTAAAATATCAATCTTTTATCGAAGTTCTTATATCAATAGTTTTCTTGAAGTTTCAATTTCTTCTTAGTTAGTTTTCATTTATTCAATTTCAAAATTTTGAATGTAAAACTTTTCATTAATCTCTCTTCTTTCATTAGTTAATAATTTAATCTATTCTTAATAAACTTAATTTTATTCTTCTCTAATTTCAAGTTCAAGTTTTAATTTATGTAATTCTGAATTCTTTTATTCAAGAGTTTTTTTAAAGTCATCATTGATATAAGTTAATTTAATTTCCATTTATTCAAGATTTCCTTATTATTATTAAACAAGAGAAGCATAATCTTGAATTTATTAACTAAGATGATCAATTTAATAATCCTTTTCTTAAAGTTGATTGATAATTTTATCCCTTTCAAGTCTCATTTCAATCATTGTTTCTTTTAGTGCATTTAAATCATCTGCAAGAATAGGTGATTAATTTTAAAAATCTTTTGTTTATCCCTATTATAATAATGTACTTTTTGCTTTAAATTAATTAAAATCAAATTCTATTTACATTTTTTATTATCTGGATTTATTTAATTCTTATTCTAATTCTCTTATTTTCTGTATGTATAAATCAGATATTTTTCTTTCTTCTTCAATATTATTAAGTGAAGGTACTACTGTTTTATCAACAGAAGAATTATTGCTTTTACTGTTTCTCCTTTATTTATCCTTTTACTTCTAATTTTAAACTAGTTTTTCTATTTTATCTTACATAGCTCTTACCTCTCGAATTAAAGCATCTTCTCTTTAAGCATATTAATCTCTTTATACTTTAAGTTAATCTTAAACTAATAAATATTATTATTCTAAGGATTTGTTATCTATTAATAATTAATCAATAGATGACTTATGCTATTAGCATAATTTATTCATTTCTAATTACAATTCACTTTATGTAATTTATTTTTCTTTCATAATATTATTAATTTGATCTTAAAGACATAGTTATCTATCTTATAGTTATTTTTCAAGGTTATCTCTTCTTTAAAATTCAATATCTGTTTTTTCTTTTAGAATAATAAATTCACTTTTAGTTTTTTCAATATCATTTTAGTTTTATTGATTAACTTTTTACAGTTTTTAATTTTTGAATTATAATTCTTATATTTATTCTTCATATTAAGATTATTACTATATTTTTTAATCTAATTTGAATTGTGTTTCTTTAAATTGAGTATTAGTAATTTCGTTTTCTTTTTTTAAATCATTAATAATTTTTTTTAACTTTTATGCATCATCTTAATAAGCAACAATTTCAATTTCATAACTACTTTGTAATTTTCCTAATTCTTTTTCCCATCTTTTTCTGGCTTCTTCCTTCACATCTTATAAGCTATTAGCTTATTTTAATGTTTATTCTAGAGCATAAATTTAAGATTCATATTCTAATCTTTCTTTTTTAATTAATTCATCTTATTCTTTTAATTTTTTGATTTCTTATTTTAATTTTTCATTTTCTTTTTGACTTTTCCATAATTCATCTCCTAAATAACCAGCTTATTTAGTTTATTCATCAACTTATTTTTCTAATATTTAAGATTTTGAAATAGTATCATTACATTTTTTTTCTAATTCTTTTTTTGATTTTTCTAATATATGATATTCTTTTTTTAATAAATCATCTGTTAGATTCTTTGATTAATTAGATGAAAAATTTTAACTTGATCCTTATTGTTATAGAAGCATATCTTCTAAATGAGCATTTTCTTCAATTAATTTTTCTTCTCTTAATTTAAGTTAAGTAATACGAGCATTAAGTCTATTAACTAATTCATCTCTAGTTTCTTCAATTTTGATATTTGAATTTTATAATCCACTATCATTTAATCTTTTAGCAATAACTTCTATTTCTTCATTCATCTATCTATTAATTTATTCTAGTTTTTTATTTTGATCAATTACAGTTTCATATTTACGATATAACATAACATAACTCTCTCTTTCAGGTTAATGTTAATTAAAATATTATTCTCTAGCTTAATAATCTTATATCTTCATTTATAATATTTCATTTTCTTTAACTACTTCTTTAAGTTAATCTTTTGTATTACTGTTGAATTGATGTTTCTGTAATTACAATCTTAATATCTCAATTTCTCTATCTTTTTCATCTATCATAAGTAATACTCTTTGACTTCTAAATTCATTTTCTTATCTTTCTTATTGAATCAAGTGATTTAATAATTCTTTGATTGAATTTCCATCCATTTCTTAATTCATAAATTATTCTAAAGCATCATTAAGCAACTAATTTTATTAAGTTAAATAATTAATTCTTTATTGAAGTATTTTATTCTCTTCTGCATTAAACTATTCACTTCTAACATTACCAAATGTCTCTAAATTTCCAAAGCCTGGTGATGTAATTGATCTATTTTGAATATCTTAATGAATATATTAATCCAAACGTTCAGAATCGCATTCAAAACTAACAGAAATTCTACAATCTAAATTATCTCCTCTTATGTAAATAAAGTCTTCTTAAGCTTCAACATTCTTTAATTTAACAGTCACTACAGTTGTCTCTCCTGGGAGTAACTAAATTGCAGTTGGAGTAATTTCATAATTTTTGAAAAGTCTAAATGCAAAATTAAGCACAACCTTTCTATTGTTCTTGATTGTAATCTAATAATTATATTTTTGTATACTGTTTTTTCTTATCCAATTTTTTAAAATTTCAAATGTTTTGGTGTAATCTCAACGTCTGTCATAAATTTTGTATTATATATATTTTATTTTATAATTATCAATAGACTCTCTTCTTTGGTGGCACAGTGTCAAATTCATTAGGATCCATAGTTTTAGAAATAACCTAAAATATTAGAATATATATCTATACATCTCTATAAGTCAATTGAACATCTCCTTATTTAGTATCTTAAATTCTAGCAAGAGTATGTTTCATCCAATTTTTATCATCTCTATCAGGATAATCATCTCTTGCATGTGCACCTCTAGATTCCTTTCTATTAAGAGCACCTTCAATTGTCATTTTTCCTTATACTATATTATTCTTATAACAAATAAGTACATAATAAATTTTCTAATTCTAAACCTTCAATTAGATCAGAATTCCAAACTAATCCTTTATCTTTAATTCTAACATCATCTTTTCTTGAATATATTTCCTTCACTTTTTCTACACCTTCTTAAAGTGTTTTTTCAATTCTGAAAACAGCTGCATGTTTTTACATTGTTCTTTATAAATCTTTTCTAACTTATGCAATTGTTTATGATCCTTCATGATGTCTAAGTCTATCAATTCTGGCAATAGCTGCTTCACCAGCATTCTTTGGTAAATCTGGTTATTTTTATCCAGGTTTCCATTTTTCACCTACCAAATTAGCTGCCTATCTTCCAAAAACAACTATATCTAATAATGAATTAGCTCCTAATCTATTTGCACCATGAACTGAAGCACATGCAGCTTCTCCTGCAGCTAATAATCCTGGTACAATTTAATCTTTTCCATTAACTTAATTTAACACTTCTGTTTTATAATTTGTAGGTATTCCACCCATATTATAATGTACTGTTGGCAATACTGGTGCTGGTTCCTTAGTAACATCAACTCCTGCAAAGATCTTTGCTGCTTCACTAATACCTGGTAATCTTTCATGTAATAATTCAGCAGGTAAATGATTTAAATGTAAATAAATATGATCTTTTTCTGGTCCAACTCTAAAGAATACTAAAATAATAATATACCCTCTTCCTTCTAAAATTTCTTTAGTCATAGCTCTAGAGACAACATCTCTACTAGCTAAATCTTTAGCTGTAGGAGCATATCTTTCCATAAATCTTTCTCCCAAAGAATTTCTAAGAATACCCCCTTCTCCTCTACATCCTTCAGTCATAAGACATCCAGATCCATAAATACCAGTAGGATGGAATTATACAAATTCTAAGTCTTCCATAGGTAAACCTGCTCTAATAGTCATACCACCACCATCACCAGTACATGTATGTGCAGATGTACATGATTAAAAGGCTCTTCCATAACCTCCAGTTGCAATAACAGTATATCCAGCTCT